AGAGAGGGAAGAGAGAGAGAGAGAGAGAGAGAGAGAGAGAGAGAGAGAGAGAGAGAGAGAGAGAGAGAGAGAGAGAAGAGAGAGAGAGAGAGAGAGAGAGAGAGAGAGAGAGAAGAGAGAGAGAGAGAGAGAGAGAGAGAGGAGGAGAGAGGAGAGAGAGAGAGAGAGAGATATATATATATATTTATATATATATATATATATATATATATATATATATATATATATATATATATATCTTGCCGGTGTGTGTGTGTGTGTGTGTGTGTGTGTGTGTGTGTGTGTGTGTGTGTGTGTGTGTGTGTGTGTGTGTGTGTGTGTGTGTGTGTGTGTGTGTGTGTGTGTGTGTGTGTGTGTGTGTGTGTGTGTGTGTGTGTGTGTGTGTGTGTGTGTGTGTGTGTGTGTGTGTGTGTGTGTGTGTGTGTGTGTGTGTGTGTGTGTGTGTGTGTGTGTGTGTGTGTGTGTGTGTGTGTGTGTGTGTGTGTGTGTGTGTGTGTGTGTGTGTGTGGTGTGTGTGTGTGTGTGTGTGTGTGTGTGTGTGTGTGTGTGTGTGTGTGTGTGTGTGTGTGTGTGTGTGTGTGTGTGTGTGTGTGTAACGATATAAAAGTACCGCTTTTGATACTCATCCAACCACAAAACCACCAGTGTCATTTCTCGGCGGTGGTGGCATACCTAGCACTGCCACATCATATTGTCGGTAGCGAAAATGAGGCAGACACCAGGAGGATTAAGCCGAACACAAGTATCGGTTGTTCAGTGGGAACTTCGTACTGCGCAAAACTGCCCATAAAGCGCGCAGAGAGCGCGCGCCCATAGTCGCGGTCATCCCATCGCCGCCTATTGAGCATCCGCGGCATTCATAGCGCGTGGCCTTCACTCTCGCCCGCAGTGCAGGTCCGCCGCCGTCCGTCCTCCAGCCCCCGAGGGACAGCTCAGGGTGTCGGTCGGCCTTATAAAGCCGGCACGCGCGTCACTCCCGGCAGACTTGGTCGGGGGTTGTCGGTGACGACCAGCAGGACGAAGTGAGGCGTACAGCTGCACCATGCGGTCCGGGTACCTGGTCCTCAGTCTCCTGCTGGCCGGCCTGCTCGAGGTTGGCCAGGCCACGTTTGTGGCGGGCACGGCCGGCGCCGGCGCCGCCGTTGTGGCGCTCGGCGCCGCCGCCGTGCTCGGCATCGGCGCCATCGGCATCGGCGCGGCGCTCATCGGACGCGGGCGCGGGCGCGGCCGCGGGCGCGGGCGCGGGCGCGGCCGCGGACGCGGCAGGAGGTGAGAGCAGACCAAGAACGGACGCTGGAGGCGGGCGCGCACCCTCTGAGCAGATCACCAGACATGTTGTTTTTGTTACAGGCGAATGTTGGTTGGCGAAACGACAGTTGAAATGTGCCGTCTGATGACACTACTGATGTGACATTTGACTTTTGACTAATGTAACATTTGTTAAATCACTCCTCGTTTTTCAATGGTATCGCATGATACTGGTGTCCTGTCCAAATTAAGGTGCACCTTACCATGCCCGAGAGATGGACATGACCCTCTTGCCACCCGCGCGGCACGAGTGGCAGGGGAGTGTGTCTATTCCTCTTGACTGCAGCGGCAGCTGGCTGACCTGCGACTGATTTGACCTGACCTGACCACAGGTACCGCGGCCGACGGGACCTCACTCTGGAGGAGCTGGAAGACGAGGAGGAGTCCAACATGTGGGAGATGGTTAGCACCAACGACCAGGCCGGCTGCGCGCGCAAGCTCATCTGTCTCCTGGAGGCGGCCGAGGGCAAGTTGGATGAAGATGAGAAGGATGTTCTCTCCTTCCTCGGGTGAGTTCCAGAATCTGAGCCCACGGCACAAGCTCAAGGCACAACAAATGTTTTGCTCTTGCTTGGGAATACAGCTTAAGTGAAAGTTATCTGGGAGTGCTTAAGAAAAGTCTGCCTTATGCTGCGGCGCAGTTTCGTCTACTTTTGGCAGTAGTTCGTTGGTTTTTCCTGTGCATTGCAGTCACCTTAGGCTGGTGTTCGGCTGTCCCGTTCGTGGCTGTCACTGCGCTTAAAAAGCTCGCGCAGCAATCTGCGACGAAGCGTTTGACATTCAATACCATACATATAAGATTGCTTTGAACTCATTGCTTACAGAATTTCTGACTTTGCAGAGACCTGAAGGATATCACCAAGCCGCAACAGGCGTCCAAGCTGCCGTACGAGACGGCCGGCTGGTTGGGCAGGCTGCGCGGGGCCAAGTCCTGCAACCTCGCCTACGGTAGCAGCTGCCCCTACACGCGGGAGAACATGATGGCGCTAATCAGGACCATCTGGAACGGCGCGCAGGTGCAGGAGCTCCTGCAGGAGCAGAAGCAGGCCTGAGCCGCCCGGCGCGTCTTTAGAGTACAGCGGCGCATCATGGGCGTCGCTGTGTTTTGTTTCTTTCGAGCCGGAATGGAAAGCTTGTAATGTGTTTACAAACCACGTGTGATCCATAATGTGTTAAAAGATTTCGAAGTATTCGAAGGCGTGCAAATACGTTGCGGTGGGCAAGTCAGCGTTTTATCGAAATGAGGGCCGACCAAGACCGTGTTGCCAAACGGTTGCAGGTTCACCAACTGGCCGTAAGTGTCCATCCGCTCCACAGCAATGTGCTTCTCATCGACGTCCGATAGTCTCAACGAATACATGTGATTAACAGAAAACATGACTATCTATATCCCTGGCTCGTGTAGCTCTGGCCAGCAGGCTTCGACTGACAGAAGAAGCTAACGGAGGCAGTGAAAGATTCCGAACGCAGCTGGAGGGCTAACCAGGACACCTGTGCTCCATCCAAGCTTCCATGGTACAAAAGTTGTGGACTTCAAAACATCTTGAGCAGCGGGTAAAACGATCAAGCTTGAGAGAAGGCGATTCTTGCATGACAAAAGGCAGTGAGGATTCCGGAGCCAGTGATTTCACGGAGGCAGTGAAAGATTCCGAACGCACCTGGGGGGCTAACCAGGATACCTGTGCCCCATCCGAGCTTCCATGGTACAAAAATTGTGGACTTCAAAACATCTTGAGCCGCGGGTAAAACGATCGAGCTTGAGAGAAGGCGATTATTGCATCACAAAATCATGAGCATTTTTAGTGTGACCGGGGGACGTGGGTGAAATTTCGTCTTGGAACGGAGACCACGCTGAATGTAAAATCCCCAAATAAATAGTGGCAGCAAAAGCACATACGAGGCCAAAGAATTCGTATGACTTATTAAATGACAAAAATAGACAACAGAATATCAGGCAAAGACAGACAGGAGAGAAAACATGCACATTATAACATGCCAGGAGGAAAGAGCAGGGAATAAATTGGAAAATGATCAACGGTAGGAACGCCCTTAAACATTGTGAACTAAATTCAGGATGACAACTTTAACAAAAGAGAATGTGATTAAGTGTACGACTTGCCAGCATGTGCACGACGTTCACGCGGCACAAAGTACTGCGCCGCAAGACAATTGCGAAAAAAACTGCAAAAAAGACAAAAACACAATTTTTGTGTTAGCAGACGTACCGAAATCATTAGCATGAGCACCCTCCTTACTTCGTGTAAGCGATACTTTTGATTTGGTACCGCGGGGTTAAAGCAGCAAACTTAAAATGACGTGTTTGTGCATGCTATAATAAAAACGGTTCCGGGGTACAGTTTAACGGCTACTTTGGTAAGGCGTAACGCCGAACAACGGGTTTCAGCCTTCCTCACTCTATTTTTGGCGTATTTCAGTTTTGGCACGCGATTTGGTCATTGTCTTATAACGGTTATTGAAATCGTTATAATGGCATATTAATAGCGTGGTGATGGTTATTGCGTACTTTTGGGGAAAAATCACAACTTTTGTTAGTTGGAATGTTGTTAGGCGGCACGTTTCAACCTGACATCGATGGCAAAAGGCAACTGCTTGGAGTCATGGAGACAATCTGTTTACCTATCACCCACGCACAGGTGACCAGGAGCACTTACATCTGCTAACCGCGCTGTATTTGTTGCGGAAACGTCACGAGGACAGACAGACAGGCAGACAGAGGCTGCGGAAGCTTCTGCTAAGGAACTGGGAAACCTATCATCATGCTAATAATTTAAAGGGCATGCATGCTTATGCATGCACACGTCATGCAGATATTTTTTTGTCAACTCGTGGCCGCTTAGAACAACCGATGTTTCTATTAACTGGTGCATGATTTCAATAAACATTTCAAAATATCATACAACATTTTACACAGCAGGCCCCCTGGCTTCTTCCCGAAACGAAATTATAGGCGAAAAGACTAAAACAGCAGAACAAATGTAAACACTCTTTTGTTACTTGATAGATTATCCATGGTCTAAGTACGACAGTACGAAAGGAGACATTAATGGAACCACTATGTCAACCCTTTTTGCGATTTAATTAAAAGGCTGGTTTCGAATAACACGACAAGGACGATAGATCAACGTTTCTATTAGAATAGCGACCCCGAAAAGCTTTAAGGCCCAAAACCGAGCTGTTCCTTGGTCTGCACGATCCACGTACTTGGGACTACACTAAGTAAGAACTATTGTGACGCGTTTTGCGGTGTGGAATGAACGAGGCCATAGCAAAAGCGATTGGCATAACCATGTAGGTCTCTATAAGCAAATAGGGTCAGTTACCTTGAGGTACTTTTGATGATGGGACGTACCAGTGCGTTGGGATTTTTTCCTTTCATGAGCCTAACAAGTAGAGTTGTCGTGATGTTAGGCATTCGCACAAAAGTTAAAAACCGACATCGCGCAAAGACTCCCTGGTCTGCGATTCGTCAAACCCAGGGGATTTCAATTAATGGGGCGGATGAATTCGGAACACAAGGCGTTTTTTAAGGACTGTAACGAAGCGCCAGGGGTGAAGAAAGCTTGTGATTTGCCGGATATGATCGCTGACAAAAACCGACGCTTTTGCAAACCAATTGGTCACAGAATTGCAAAAATAAAACAAATTTCAACAGGCAAGACTATATTACAACAGATTATCGCAGTTCGACGAAACTCAAAGCTTAGTATTGGTCTGCACTGGCGAAGGCTTGCAGCGTGAGCATATGTCAAAACGTTGACGTTTCACTGTATGAGCAAGTTGGGCCATAAAATGCTGTCAGACGTAGTTGCTTTATCAGGATAGTTTTAGCATGTGACAGAAGCAGTTTATAGTCAGCACGGACGTCACAGATCAGTGGTGACACAATGTCCCTCAGATCGGTGCTTTTCACAGATTTTTCAGCCAGGATTCACTCCACACACTAAACACAACAAAATACTAAATAACTGGGCCTATTAACAGTCGTAAGAACCGTGGCTGGCCACAGCACCTTGCGACGAATGTGGTCAGTTTGCTACGTATCGTCGTGCCATTTGAGACAGATGGCTCGATTGCTCGCCACGTGGTAATGCGTTAGTTCAGTGCAAGGTTGTGGTCTGTGGTTAGTCTTGTCTTGTCTCTGTGTCTTTGAGGACCGACTGACTAGAAGGACGTCGCCAATCGTCAGTTTGTTTTAAGGTAACTCCGTTAAAAAGCCCTGCAGATCTAGGATTGTTGTTTGTGGACACCTGAGCTGTAGCTTCAAAGGTAACGGAGGTCGCTGGAGCGACACATGTCAAGGATTCATCCGGGCTTCCTGCTGCTGAGAGGAACGGCGGCTTTGAGGTAAGCAGCTGAGCATCATCGGTGTAGGCCTCTCGCATTGCCCGTCGCACCTCAGACTTGGCGCACTAATGGATGGACAGCAGTATGTGAGATTTGGTTTTGGCTACTGGGGGAACAAACAATGTTTTAAAATCACGGCTTGTAGTGAGAACAAAATAACCCAGGTGAATTTGCACTGTATTCGCAGGAGGAAGGACTGAAAGACATTCTCTGGCAGCAGATTACAGTGAACAATATACTCTAGCTGGTTTCAGTGATCGCCAAAGAACATTAGAGGTTGGTTGCTTGCAATTCTCAAATTTTCGACCTTCTTGATTAAGTGATTCCTTGATAAGTTTGTGCTCACATCTACCGCCTTTTATGAAGCTATGAAGCGATAGAAATCTGTCAAAATTGACAATGCTATGGTAAAGGTGCGAGTGCCAATTAAGGTTGATAGAAACCAATGCTTAGAATGTTGTACAGCTGTTGAACAATTCCCCACAGCACGTTATGGCAAATGTATGATTCAAATATCATGCAAGCCACAATAGTATAAATAGGAGCATCTGAGGCATGGTAGTTAGTGCCGCTACGTTCCAGCCAAGGTGTAATCTTGCTCACCTAAGGGAAAGATTCTGGGTCAATGTGATTCCTGCATAGGCTTTTACTGAACTAGATATGCTTAATTTGGGACCAGGGGTGTAGTTCCCTATTTAGTCGGATGAGATGCTAGACCCTCCTACAAATTTGAAGGGAAACATGGTCAAAATCAGGGAGAGCATGGTTTGCACCATTTACTTGGGATTAAATGCTTCTATGCTTACCCACTCCATAAGGTTATGTACAAATCTGCACCATCTGGGACGTCAAGCTGGTGCGTGATCGGGGCCTGGAGGTTAGTGCAGCAGGGACGGATGAATTATTTCCTCCTCATAGAGCAAGCCAGCCGTACACAGCTAGCATCGCTTTATCTACTCACGAACGTTGATTCTGATACAATACTTTTCTCAGTGCATGACACAGCTGAATTCATATGCTGCCTTTATCTATACTATCAACCAATGGCGCATTCACCGCTCACCACGGCTCCGCGTACGGCTCCTCCATAAAAAAACGCCGTAAGCCTGCATAAATGGTATGCACGGAATAGTAGTCTTCAACGACAGAACCCCTGTAAGCTATTTATCAGTTTTGATGTTGTTTTTTAGAACTTCAGTGATTTTATGAAAATTATTCGTTAGCAAAACCCAGCCGAACTAAGAAGGTAAATCTAAAATTGTCAATAATGATATAAATATAACCAAAAGTTCTGCTCAACGGAGAACAAGAGACCCTGATTTAAATTTATACTCAGATCACAATTATGTGACGGCGCTCTGTAGATCAATAGAAAAAATTTAGTGTTTTTATTTAATGACCCTGTTATGCGCTTTTATGACGCATTCAGCTTGGATTTCTTAGCGGAGAATATGCCTTCTCTCCAATGCTAAATCCTCCCGAAGAGCCGGAGACCCGCGAAGCCGTGGATTTCCGCGGGCCCAAGAGAGTGCTTGGGATGGAGTTTGACGTCGCAATTACACCTTTTATACAATCTCCATTTTTGATAGCTTCAAATGCAAATTTAGTAAAGATGCTATTTAAGAAGCAATAGATATAATTTGTCACTAATATGCACTCACTTAACGCTACATTTAGGATGTATGTTAGTGTGACTTCATGTACTTTCGTATTAATTTTTATTACGCTACAATTATTGTCATGTGCCATCCAGAAACGTTGAATCGTGACGCCTACGAGATGTTTCCTGCTCTCTCGCTTCTCCCTGGCCCATCAAGAAACGATGTTGTTGTTTTGAGCGCGGGCTCGGACCCGGCGTCTGAATGTGTCGGTGACGTTGGTGAACGACGCGTGGGTTGAACGTGTGCTGGCGAGCAGCACCGGACCTGCGCTCTGAGTGCGTTGAAAGGAAAGATTGTGTGGGATATGGCAGAAAGATTCGGCTGAAAACCGCAAGCAATATCCCTCGTTTAGTCGTGTGAGTGTGGCGCGCGATGCTGCCGAAGTTTCAGGGACAGATTGCCGTCATCTGATGTTGCTCACAGAGAACAATTTTCTGTATTCTTTCCAGTGTATATTTGTGGAGAACAAACTTTATTGGGATTAAAAACAACAGGAAACATCCAAGTTTAGGACACTGGTGGACAGACATGAAATAAAACGTTTTTAGTTGTCATCATATTGTATATAAAGCTAAACGAAGGTGCTAGAGATGTTCTAAAATGTCGTTTGCATCTGTTGATACCTATTGTATGGGTTTTGCTCTAAACAACTGGGGTCATGGTGTGAAGTGTGAGTTCTGCACCGGCGATAATCATACCTAGATAATGAAGGCGGCCAACGCTTTCAGCTGATTGTGGGATAACGTAATGAAAACAGAAGTGGTATTGTTTCAGGTGCTTGTAGAACCATGTTATCGGTAAATGTAGGGCCACACGGATTCAATTTTGCAAAATTCGTTGGGGTGAGGGGTTGAAAAGGGGGCGGGGGTGCAAGAACAAAAAATGTTGAGCCTACCTGCGAAATGCGCTTTAAACAATTTTCTCCCCAGATTTCAGGCAATTTTTCGCAGCTGGCAGCAGGGATGTAGTTCCTCAAAATTATTTCGGGGGAGGCGGCTGAACCGCAATTATGGTAAATGAGAAATAATGGATAAAAATTACAACTAAAATAGGAAACTGTGTCCCTGGTTAGGAGGCACGATCCCGCCTCCCCCTAGCCACAATAGGAAGCAAATCACCTTTACGTTGGTTATGTTAAGTATGCCTTTATCTGATAATTCTGTTAGTTTAGCATGAACCTTCATTCAATGTCTGATGTCCAGCAAATAAAACTTTAGTGCAAATGAACCCCGAAACGGAAATGTTCGATGGCTATGCCGTATTGCATCTAGTTTGTCTTTGCTTTTTGTGGTTTATTGCATTTTGACATATCTCGCAACGGTTTCTGAAAGTTTTGACCCCAGGTGACAACTCAGATGGTTTAAAATTTCGTCGTTGACAGAAAAGGCACCTTTTTTCACGACTGCGAAGCACCGTCACAAACGCTAGTATTTGGTGTGCATGTTGTTCATAATAAGCTGGGCCAGGCACTCAAGTACCTTTCGCATAGCGGCCTTTCTTGGTCCGCCTCAGTGTGGGTGTTTGGGAATCGTCTCGGGGACGGTTACATTGGCTGCTTCAGTCCTGTTATTAGCGCATGTGTGGATTGGATAGTATTGACATCACGTATTCGGGTGAGACGGCACGTTCGTCTAGACCACCTGGCTTGTCATCTTCACTTTCTTTGGTTACGCAGAGCCTTGTCTTGCGCCCTACATTATCTGAAACAAAGGCGTGCAAAGAAGGCGTGAACGGCCGAGCAGTCTAGGTTGTCCGCCTCCTTATCGAGACGGATTCTCCCACCTAGTCATCTGACCGTGCGCGCTCGCCAAGCGGCGAGGTCAACTGCGAGGGCTCGGCCCCCGCGACTCGCGCACACTGCGTCCGGTGTACAGATGAGGGCCCGGCAGTGCGCTGGCGGCGCAGCTCCGGCCTCTTGCAGACCTTGGCCGCGCTCACCAGGAAGTGCGCTGGTGCCCACGGCGCGGTCCAGCAAGTGACGAAATGGCCAGCGGCAGAGTTTGGCGCAAATCGTAATGGCGCGGTGCTGCGGTTCAATGACGGTTCAGGGTCGACAACTGGATGACTTGCAGCCATGTCTGGTGTAGATTCTGCATATGTTGTGGCTGCTCAGTGATCGGAGTTTTAGCGTAGGTTTTGCAATTGTCGTGCCTGTTAAGTTGCCAAAGCGCTATCACCAGCGTATCGTTAATGTCAAACGGCATCAGTGCGGCTTCATTGCTAAGATTGGACGTCCATCAGGGATGCAGTTTGCTGGCGGTGAAAAGGAATCCCGATCAAAGTTTCCGTTAGCGTAGACCCAGAACAATTTAACATTATCAGTCATATTCATCAGCCCGAACGCCATACAAGCCTACAAACATGACTACAACACTGAGACGCTACGCGCGAGAGCAGCGGGCGTGTGGGATGCAAATTTCGTTGACATTCAAGAGGTGCTAAAAACAAACATGTCTTTTACCAACAGGAAGCACTCCGATGTTACTGGTCTGATGCATAATTGTAAAGACATCTTTAATGCATTAAAGCTACGTAAATATCAGTTCCTAATGAAAAAGAATCTTTATGTAGCCAGAAACCTGAAATTAGTAAATCTTTAATCCAAAAGTCCAAAATTAATGGATGAATAATCGAATTACGAAGCATGATCGTAGGGTGGACGACAAATCCCTGTAACAAAAAATCATTGTACAAAAAATCTCTCCCGAAAAGTGTTGCTCCTGTACATGTACATAACCGTAATTTATGCATGATGTCTATAAACGTTACAAAAACGCAGGTAGTGTTATCTCAGTGACACTCAACATAGTAACATGACAACATGTCAACATGACAATAACACGTGCTCAATGCCTGTCCACCGCGCGCGTTCCGCGACATGGTCGGTTGTCGCCCGCCGCCCGCGCCGGCTATAGGTCGCCGCGTAGTGTTCCTAAAAATCTGCCACTGCTCCAGGACTAAAAAAGTTGGAAACGCATTTTTGGTGCAAAAACACGTGCAATACACGCTTCAAAGATAACTGAAAATTTGAGCGCGATTGCACAATATGCGGAGGAGATATTATAAAAACCTTAGGAGTTGCCTAGACCCCTTACACCCACTCCCACCTCCCTATCAGGTCTATGGTCAAAACGTTAGCGCCTGTTACAAATACATGGAGGTCTAGAGTTGCATATCAGGTAGGTGAGTGACGCGTATTTTTGGTATTTGTAATGATCAAACAGATAAATGTTTAAGAATATCCAGGACAACGAAACTGTTCGCCAAGATATGATAACTCAAGCCTAGTTGGAATCATCCACAGCCAATCTGACTTCATCGTAGCGCTCTAATGAAAAACATGCTAGCAGATGCAGCAGTCCGATTGGGACAACACAGCACCAGTCAGGGTCCTAAATGCTGGATAGTTTTCGTGCACGAGCAAACATATTTCAACGTACAAACAGGTGGGGGTCAAGCTTCGTAAATATATTTCAGCAGGTGAAAGAAACACGTTTTTATATAATGAGAGGAGCTTTTAATGTTTTGCTAAGTGACCGAGAATTTCTAGAGCAGTTCCTTCGTGCCCTACTCAGAGTGCCGCTGCACGCTTGCCCGGCTCATGTGGTGCCATTCTTTTTGCCGACAGCCCTGTGTTCACGCCTCGGTAAACATTATGTTTTGACTTCAGCAGTGGTCTGGTGGGCGTTGCGGCCGACAGCAAAGGGCAACAGGCAACATCTGACCGAATGGGGATTTGCTGTGACTTAAAGGCTGCTGTATGGAATCTAAATTTTCTGCTCATTCTTGGGAAAGCAAATCGAAGCGCTCTTTTTTACCACACGAGTGAGTTCCGTTGAGTTGCGACCACACGAGAGCCCGCCACGTCCTGCAGCTACCTGCAGCGCCTGCTGTCAGGTAGCTGCGAGCTGCCACATGGTTATGTAAGCCAACGCACAACAGAGAGGTGTCTATTATACCCTGCTAATCGTGTGTTTTGGTGGTATGTATCGTGCAAAGACACGAGTGGTAACTGCGGTGTTCCATGTCGCCACGCTGAATAAAACTAGCTCTGGACGATAGAAGAATAGGAGAAAAGTCTTTTAGATATCGGATGGGTCGAACAGCTTTACTCGATTCAGTCATCCCGGCGCTGCAGATGAATCACGTTTGCCGCTGTTACATGGGCTGGAAACTGAAGGATAAATAGCAGAGGACTAACTACGTCAAAAGATTGTTCATAGCAATGAAGACTGACCAGGGAGGTTCTTTGTGTGTTCATCTGCGGCGAAAATAATGTGTGTCTAATAAGTTTGTTCCTCAAGTTATAGCTTACATTATTAGTTTCATGTTGTTGCGAGACGTTATCACACTCAGATTAATGGAAGAAAACAGTTGTATCTGCGTCACCGGGATCTTAGTGATACCATCGACTGCAAAGGTTACTGCGTCGATGTCAATCAGATGGACTTTAAATCTTCATGATGCCCCAATCGTGTATAGTGGTGTGTAAACAAACTAATGAAAACACCAATTAACAGGCCGGGCGCGCTCGACGTGCTCTTTATATTTCACTGGAGATAAGCAAGACGACTTGAGATAGAGATATTATGTTGGGCCGGCAAATGCCAGTCCAATGCAGCGAGATATCTCATTACCCAAATTGGTGTGCACAGAATGCCGTTCAACGTGCAACAGCCAGTTCTGTGAAGATTTAGTAGTATGCTACAAGAGCTCGCTGTGCTTTTTTTGTTAAGAAGCTTTTCAACGATCAAATATGAACTGCTCGGCAACAATTCCCAAAAGATTGCCTCGCCTCACGAAAGCAGTTGCATGTAGAGCATCACAACATAGCGGTCAAAAACACAGCGCCCAGACAGAAACATAGTGCAAGTGTCTAGAATTGGTCCATTATATATCATCGCATAGGGTGCTAATCCGTTTACGTCCATTCATTAGTTTAACAAATTTTTGCTTTGTGCACCGATGGTAGGGGTGTCGTTTGTTTCGCACCTGTCTTGGGCTATTAGATAGCGTCACATACAGCTCCATCCCGTCAACGTCCATTCAAGAGCATAACAAATCCAGCTTTGGGCACCGTTGGAGGTGCGTCGTTTGTTTCGCGCGTGTCTTGATGTGCAAAGAAAAAACATACCACGAATAAAGTACAGATAGAGTCTTGAAATTAAGTGCCTACGACATTTTGGCCTTGGTGTGCCAGCTGTAACAATCATTTTTGGCCTATTTGTTGTTTTCGGCAAATTATCTCAACACGTTTGTACCATGGCCAAGCCGATTAAATTTATTCCGACTGGTTAAACGTTACAGAATAGGCCGTTTCCTCTACAAAATGTAGCCGTTTTATCCTCGTTCCCATCGGAAGGACTGACTAATGAGGTAAGAACCAAACACGCAACACTGTTGGAATTTAATTGGCACGAGCATTATGTGAGAAATCACAAGGTCTCTCTTGCATGCATTACGTTTGTGTTGACCAGTCCTCGTTCATCGTCGACGTGGAATTCCTGTCACATTTTTCTTAGACTTAGGTAAGAAGGTGCTCGTTGAAAGCTTGGGTCAATTGCTATGTATTAGGGCAATGATCATAACAGTACCTGGTGCGATTTTGAAGAAAAAAAACTTGTTGTCACTCGCATTGCATATGTTGATTTTGTTGCAGAGCACACTGCAAATCATGTGAATTGCCCTGAGATGTTTTAGATATAATATTCCGTGGGGAAAACCGTTGTTTTATATAATTATTTTGCCAGACTTCCTCAAACAAAAGGTACCAGCGTCTTCCGGAGTTAATCGTTTGAGTTGGATGGGATTTAACAAATGTACGCGTCTAAAAGCAAACCACAGTGACCAGGGGTTTGATGCGGACAATAGATAATTGCGCTACCCAATTTTCCAGATTTAGTCCTGCCTCTAAACAGACCTAAACGACGCCAATTTCAATTTCACTTGCATCTGCTCTTTACCGACCAGATCCGCGATGAGTGACCTATACCCGGAACCGGAAGCGGACACCGAGGAGGTGCTGATGACCGCCTCCCTGCCGTCCACCTCGTCTGGAAGGACGGGTGGTCCTGTCCGGGCCACGGCCTCCGTCACGGGAAAGCCCTCAGTCAGTTCCAAAAGCTCCATCAGCTCTATCATAAGATCTGGAGTCAGTGCTGTCTCTTCTCTGTTCACGACACAGAAGCGTTCTGGCGAAATGTCACGGCCCAAGTCCGCGTCACCAAAAGGTAAGTAAGCTTGCACGTTTTTTTATCAGAAGCCTAACAACCATTTTTGGTTACTATACTTGCATCAAGTTACACTTGCGTCATAACCCCTTGTCCTTTGCCACCGATCGGGGGAGGGGGAAGAGGGGAGGGGAGAAAATGCGAAGCTTACTTCAGTACCGGGGCGCAAAGGCCGAATCCAGGTAACACAAGCTAGCACCATAAGCAATAACCAGTGGACAAAAAAAAACACAAAAACTGCCGGTTGATGCTCATATATTGTTGTTTAGATAAGTGCAACATGCTTACAATGATATTAATATACTGCAAGTGGCGCTTGGTTAATTGTGTTGTAACTTTTGTCCGAATATTTCGATTAGTTGGACTGCTCCAATCAGAAACAATGTTCAGCAATATTTTTTTCGAGTGAGCCCTGACTTCACCATCCAAGCATGAAATTCCGCGTCAACGGCAGAGTCTTGCGACAAAGGCTTAACGTTCTGCAATGCTCAGTAAGGCCAGGCATGCCCATTGGCGTCACTTGGTCATTAAAACGGCCGCTACCACCGGCCTCAGGTCATCCCAGTCAGGGCGACATACCAAACGCTTAAAGAGACTCGAGCCCTCTTCGTCATGACTGGGTGAATCGGAAGGCAGGCGCTCTAACCAACAGAGCTACCGGGACAGATCGGCGGACCGTTCGACGACTCTGTGCTCATGCGTTCCTATCATCAGAGAGGAATATCCCCAGACACCTCACCTTTCGCCGGCAGCAAAACGCACGCCGCCTCGACCACCGCGACCGAAGGCGGGGAGGAGTGTGCAGACGACAGCTTCCCAGACGTCGGCCACGGCCAGTGAGAACGACACACCGGAGGAAGCGGAAAGCGAGGAGGTGGTCTCGACCAGCGAGCCTCAGCCCGCTCCACTGGTCGAGCAGCCGGCGGGTGAGCGGAGGCGCGCGTCGAGCCGGCCGCGCGGTGAAGACCTTGACTCGGAGGGCCGCTCGGTGGCCTCCGAGTCCGGCAGCCACACAGACACCGAGACTGCGGACGCCGAGGAGCGCGGCTCGCTGGCGAGCGAAGGCTTCGCGTCCAGCCTGGATGGTGACCCCGGGTCGCCGCAGGACTTTTCCAGTGTCGCCTCGTCGGCGGTTTCCGACGCTGAGGACACGACTGGGGACGATGAAGGATACGTGCTCAGCCCACGCGGCAGTAGAAGGGTGACATTTGATAAGAACGCTCCAGACACGTTAGTCTTCACTCCCGACGACCATGGTCGGACGAGTGACGATGAGGCAGTCCGGGAGAATCGGGAACGACTAGCTGGTGTAGGTGCCGAGGGCCACAGGCCCAGTGCGAACGAGAACTTTCTACAGCTTCTGGCTCTCTTGAAAGAGCGCAGCCTCACCCCAACGAGCGAGCAGCTGGGCGAATTTGCCAGCCCCTCTGAGCCAACTAGCCACGTCGCCCGATTTCTCAAAGATCTTGAGACGAGACGGAACTCCCGCGAAGCGGACTCGTCCGATATCACCGAGGACGAAGAACCTTCGCACAGGGAAGACCGTCGCTTCGCTTTCCCCAGCGAGCGACCGAGCGACAGAAGAGGAAGCTTTGTGGACACTATTGACGAGTTTTTGCACTATCTTGAAGCCATAGCGGAGGACCACAAGGCGCATGAAGAAGCAATGGAAATGCTGCACAACGAGCCGCAGAAGGCCAGTGCGACTGAGACAGACTCAGACACGGCCAGCGAAGGCGGCGACAGTGTCTGGTCGGATAGTAACTCGCGAGCGTCGGACGACAGCGACACACACGCCTCCATGGGCAACGAGTCCAGCAGTGAGTTAGCCAGTGTTGAGACGGACGCGGACTCGGGCTTGGCGTCCAGTCCGCGCACGGAGCAGACGTCCGGAGAAGACGCGGCACCAGCGGAGGACGCAGGCGACAACGGGAAGAATAATGAACTTGGCGGGAGATCTCATGATCAGGCTCCATCACCAGGCCAGTTCGAGCTGCCTTTTGATGCTGATCCCGACGAGATATTGGCGGCGCCTGGCAAAGGAGCTGAACAGCCACCAGACACAGTTCTCATGGCAGTATCAGAAGCGTCACAAGAAACGTCACCAAAAAGTGATAGCACAATGAGCCATGGAGAAGCGCAAGACCGGTCTTCAGAAGAAGGTCATGGAAGTATTTCAAATATGACAACCGAAGAGGACAAGTCTGAGGAAAATGAGGCGAACTCTAGGATCCAAGAGAAGCACATTCCAGAGCCTGACGAGGCCATTGTCCAGTCAGAGAAACTGACGGAAGAAAATGTAGAAATAAATCCGACACCACTGTCGTCAGATTCATTGGAGCCAGAGACACCTGATGCCTTGGTTCCCGAACATCATACGGCACAACAGGTAAGCTCCCCCGGCGCTAGCTCTCTAAATGACACCATGAATTTTCATCGTGAAAGACCCGAGGGTGAGAGCGCTACCTCGGAGTTAAGCGATTCAAGCAACGCATTGCCAGTAATCACTGACAAAACTCGAAACCCAACCGCTCCAACGTTTCCAAATGATACCGATGCCGAACATAGCGCGGGGCTTAGTTCAGGAACCAAAGATGTCAATCATTCAGAGATTGGTGAGCTGGACACAGAGGAGATACCTGGCCCAGATGATGACCTTGCTACACTGGAGCAGTCGTCATCCACTGAGACCATTAGAGCCGTCAATGACGAAGAGCGGGCGGACGGCGCGCAGTACACAGACGACATTGACACAAGCCATAGCGTCGAGGTCACTCCAGACTTGTCCAACCGCACAAACTCCGAACCAGGTCCCCAGGAAACTCTAGAGGCTGCTCGCCAGGTCAACAACGAACCCCCTCCCGAAGCGTCTCTCGAGACACATCCTGACGAATCTCTCGAGATGCATCCCAAGGAAGCTACCGATTCGTCTCTCGAGGAAGCTCCTAATCTGCCTCCCCAGGAAGCCTTAGAGCTCCCTCCGCAGGAAGCCAATGAAGTATCTGCCCTGGGAGCTACTCATCCGCAAAGCCAGGACGCCAGCACCCCAGCTCAGGGTGTGAGTCAGGAATCGAACGACTTGTCCGCCGACAAGAGGCGCGGCACGTCGGCTGACCAGCGGGCCCTGCGCGGCCTGCTGCAGTCGTCGCTGCCACAGATGCCGGCCGTCCAGGTGCTCGGCACGCAGTCGGCGGACGCACTGGCTGAGCGACGCAGCTTGACCGTTGCGACGGAGACCAGCGATGGCTCATTGCTGTCCGTGCCGTCGTCCGACATCCAGGCGCGTTCACCTGGTCAGGTTGGCAGCCTGGAGGTGGTGGCCAAGTCGCCGGGCGAGGTGTCGCAGTTGCCGTCCGAGGCGCCCTCCGAGAGTGAGCTGCCGCAACACGAGCCGGTCCGCTCGCTGGCGTCCATCGCTGACCGACTGCTGCGCGAGGGCTCCGACGAGGAGGTGCAGGCCGCTCCGTCCGGCATGGGTCAGGCTAACTCGTTGGCTGCCATTTCTGGTCAGCTGCTCACCGACCACAGTCCCGGCGAGCTCGCCGAGCCGCCGTCGGCCGGCGACGAGGCCGACGAGGAGCGGGAACTCAGCACCGTCATGATGGACGATGGCGTCAGACCAGGTACGACGAAGGCAGATGCCGGGGCAGAGGAGCAGTCAGGGCCCAGCAAGGCATCGGCAGCAATTGGGGTGGAAGATCAGCGGAGAGACGGCGGAGCAGCGGCAGCACTTGGGGTGGAAGATCAGCCGAGAGACGGCGGAGCAGCGGCAACACTTGGGGTGGAAGATCAGCCGAAAGACGGCGGAGTAGTGGCAGCACTTGGGGTAGAAGATCAGCCAGGGAACGACAGGACAACAGTGATACTTGGCTTGGGAGACCAGCCAGGAGACGGTGAGGCATCGCTCGGTCCCGGTCTGAGTGATCGTCCAGAGGACGGTGAAGAGGCAGCGGACCCTGAGACAGAAGATCAACCAGAGGAGAGTGAGGCAGCGGCAGCCATCGGGATGGAACGGCAGCCACGGGACGGTGATGCAGTTGCTCGTCTCCTGAGGGAAAAGGGTGACGAGTCATTGAAACAAGCGATCGCACCTATAATGACTTCAGGTCAACGAGATGGAGATGAATACGAAACGAGTGAGGCATCTGAAACGGCTGAATCAGCCATTGATGACCAAAAAGCGCACGAAGAGGCCATGCTTATGTTGGAGAGTGAGACGCAAGGTACTTTGACCTCGGAAGCAATCCATCCCTCGACCCCATCGACGGACTCGGGAGAAGAATATAACGCCAACCAGAACGAGAAAGTCAGCCGTGCCAAGCCAGGTAGTGATTCATCAGCAGCCATTTCAGGATTGGAGGTAACAGACCCTTCTGCTCTCGTAAGTGACGGCAGGATGTATACTCGTCAGGAAGAAGTGATGTCAGGGGCCCGGGAGGCAAACGGTCCAGTTGAAGAAACGGACGAGGACATGACGAAACGAAGCACTGACAAACAAGCAGCAAATCTGACACCAGAATCAACACATGGGACCAACGAGCTGATAGCAATTAGCAGTGAGTCATCCGTATTATCAGATCTTCGTTCTGATGTGTCTGAATACGCCACAGGAAGTGAAAAAAGTGCGTTTGAGGAAGATCGTAATGATCCTGTGCCAGTAATTGACGAAAATAATGCACCGATGACAGATCACGGCGATTCGACGCACGCTGAGGAGACAGGGGCTGGTTTAGGAGTTCAAGGACATAAAACAAGCGCTCAGAAGATGGTATGGAGCCTGATAACGATGGCAAGTGGCATTGTGGAGCAAATGCAGGGCTCAAAAATCGTAATAAGCCCAAGCAAAATTGGGTTCAGAAATGCTGACGAGCAAACAAATCTACCAGCAAAAGAAGGAAGTGGGTCTGCAAGCAAAGGGGTGCTCTCAGAAGAGACCAAGAGTACGCCTAAAGTACTGGAAAATTTGCCACCGAGGTCTATGTCTCAGATTGTACATGATGAAATCACTAAAGAGGCCAAGAAAAGCAATATTTCAATGACCCAATTAAAGCATGCGTATAGCGATACAATAAACCGCATTGTTGCGGACGCGCAGAACCAGGTTGTTAAAGCCGCACAAGGCTTGGTGGGTGCTGTTCTGAAAACATCAAGTGGGCGGCTCCACGACGTACAAAACCACGAGGATGCCGGTGTTGAAAACAAAACCAGCAGCGAACAATCAGGACAATCAACGAACAGCTCGGATCATGAAGAGTCAAATTCAATAGAAAACGATGATTTGCCGGTTTCAGATGAAAAATCGGCGTCTACAGATACAAGCGAAGAGGTTCAAGATGGTTCACTGCCAAAACACCAGAGTGATGTAACTGTGTCTAGAATAAGCCAAGTGAAAGTAGCCAGCAAAACAAGCGCACTCGGCGGGCGGACCAGTGCAGTAAAACACAGCAAAGGCAATCTGGAAAATTCAAGGATTATTCAAGAAGATAATCGTAAAACCAATTGGGAGCCTCCATCGCCACAGGATATAGCTAACATCGCTGTTGCGATTACCCAGTCTGTTTTGGATGCAGCATCACGAATTGCAGATGATGAAAATGAACTTGACAGAAAGTCACGCGTGAAGGCATCTATCCTCCACCTTAAAAAGGTATGTCTTACGGAAGCATCTACCGCAATCATTGATCACGCAGTTGGCAAACCAGACAGCGCGGTATATAGGCTTTGCAAAATAAAATTACAGAATAGCCTTTGTACCGTAAATCCACCACTTTGGTAAACGTCATCCGATGTGCTATATGCTCACGAATGTTGAATATGAGTTTTTCTAATACCGGTTGCTTGGTAATAACAGACTTTTAAGAGTGGCACTATGTGTGCCGTAACAGATGACGGGACCCAGCTGTTCACAGTGCATTTGTTTCGAGTGCAAATGTCGGCGAGGGTTCGGTTTTCAGCTGTGTATTAAGCCCAAGCATCCACTTAGAGGCCGAAAGACTCCGGTGTTTAGGCGTTCACAGCAATACGTATATAGTACATGTTCGACTCATGCTTAGAAACGTGCCATTTTTAGACGTGTTGCCACAGTTTGGTGCGAACGCATCTTTCACAACAAGGAGGACCAAGGGAGCGTTCATGTCTTACGAAACTGATAATATCTGACAGCAGTCGTGAATAGCAGGCAGGCTGTCGCAACCTTTATGTTCTCACTTGCATCCTCGCAGGACGGCATAGTAGGTCTGTCACAGCTGAAAGGGTACTGTTGAAGGGAATTGGTGCCGGCCCTGGCTGTCTTGGGTGCTACATGACTGCTTTACGAAAGGCTCTTCTATGGCCTTGGAAATGCGTGTGCTGCACAAGCCGCTATGCTATGTCAGCTGCAGAACGGAAGGCAGGTGCATTAAGAAATAGTTTCCACCTGGTGGCTTGAGGAAAATTCCAGACCAAAAATACAATTTTGTGAAACATCCATTAACAGCAGCCGAACGGGCCACATCCCAACATGCAACGTTTCTGACACCAAACTGACGAAACAAAAACATACGTCTGAGTTTGACGAAACTTTTGTGACTGGGTGCTAATATTACAGTTGAAATAATGGTTCGGACTGTCGTCCTTACCTGGTGTGTATCTACACAGCGTTTTGACCTGCTAATTATCCGGTCGACGGCAGGTGTGACTGAGTCCTGAGAATGACTGGATGCGGTCTGACTCTTAGCCATGTACATGGCTGACCATGTACCTGGTCATGTAGTGGTTAGCCATGCGTTGTGTGCATGACTGAAACTCAGACACCATTCAGTCCTTCTCAGGACTCGATAAATTCTGATGGCACTCATAGAATTGACTGACTGAAACATTACGCACACACAAACACCTTGGATAATGGCAATAACCAAACAATTATGTCATTTGTAACCCTCACCTGATCTTTTCACGACGCTCTTAAAAATATTCTGCTGATGATATTGCTCACCTCTGCCAGGTGAATATCCTAGCATCAAAATAAAATTAATAAATTAATCCCCACTATGTTGGACAGTCTTGTTACTTTCTGTAACGCCCGATAACACTTCCACTGACTCCATGCCCGAAAAGATCGAGTAAGAATAGCAAACCGGGGCACAGCCCCACACATGACCAGCAGCTTTTGCCCAGTCCCTTACAAGGGCATGTGGTTGACACGTCAGGCCGGGTGGGCCGAGCGATGTTCTTTGTTTTTATCCTCCGCGTAGCTTTCCATGCAGCTGAAGAGTGAGGCTGGTCCAAGACAAATCATGCCGTTAAGTTCATACAATGGGCAAGTAGAGGTTATCCAAAGTTGGTACACGA